TCCTATATCGAAATCTCCATATCAACTGCAATCTATCAAATAACCTACTTGTAAGACACTGGAAAGAGCACAAAATTTGATATGTCATCCAAAGTATATTAGGCCCTTTATCAGCATAACCACGTAGAATTGAAAGTGAGCTGCACGATTTGTCACCAAATTTGCAAAGTATTATTTTCGTTTTGCAATACAATCATATAAAACATTCAACTGGTAATTTATAATTACAATTGATTGATTCCTAAGATACAAGATAATTTATACGTAATAATGTTTCAAACACGGGACCTCTTCCCTTCAATGGCAGCACATCGAATGTTAAAACACAGATGGAGGAACAAATGATGGAGAAGCAAGAAAAGTAGAAAGGGGTAGATATTGCGTCTTTGTTTGTACCTTGTCTTTTTTTTGGTTTTTGTTTATCAAATGAAGAAAAATAGGCAAAACAAATCATTTATGAATTCTAAGTATGAAAAATATCAAATATAATCCAGAATGTTATTCTCGATTTTGATGGACAATGCATTGCACCTTAAGTCTTTGACTCATTATTATTTTTTTTTATGTCTGTAACTGCTTTACTGTTTCTTAGAAAATTTATATGTATGTGTACATCCGACAAATGATATAGGTAAATGTATCAAAGCATAATTTTTGAAGACATATTTATTGAAAGTTATATGTATTAAAATGAGATATTTAAAAAATATATCTCATAGAGACTATTCATATACATATTCATTTGCCCAAATATTAATCTAATGTAAAAGATGATATATTTTGTTTATTCTGTTTGATTCCTTAAAGTACTGATTGCTTAGAACATTTGTTACTTTGCAGAAACATATTTTTTTGCTATTAGAATGAATAAATATAACTTTACGATAGATGTTCTCAATCGGATGACCTAGTGTTATATAGGGCTAACAGCTCAAATTATACAAACTTCTTGGAAATTAACTCAGCAATTTTAGACATGCACATTTGAAGAACCAAAATCTAGCTTTTCCCTCGGCGAAATTTCCCCGTACTATGGTGACATCGTTACAATATTGTCTGAACTGTGCCCAGTACCCGACACTATCCGGCGAACTGGGCTATACATAAATATATAGCTTTCGTTACTCAAGTAATGCTCACACTCGTAATCTTCATATAGGGATGTAACACGGTACATTATGTATTTTGGCGTGTAGATAATAAAATAAAACAACAGTAGATTAACGATGATCAAGTATCCTTTACCTGACCTGTTGATTATTTTTATCAAATCAACGTGTGGTTCGTTCGGTCTCAGTTCTTCATTGGTCAAAATTCAATTATGATGTCAAATGCTCTTGCTTTTCCTAATATTTTCGTATTGTGACGTCACGAAAATAGGCGACCATGTCTGATGACGTTAGACAGAAAGAAGACATATTTATCAGGAAGACAGAAAAGAAGCTAGCAGTTTCCTTTAACTTTACTTTCCGCTACATAGATGAGGTTCTCTCACTAAATAATCTCAAAATTTGGTGACTATGTTGAACGCATCTATCCCATCGAACTTGAGATAAAGGATACAACATATACAGTTAAGTCTGCCGCATATCTTGACTTACATCTAGAAATTGACAATGAGGGTCTGTTTAAAACAAAACTTAATGACAAAAGAGATGATTTAAGCTTCCCAATTATGAACTTTCCATTTTTATGTAGCAACATTCCAACAGCGCCTGCATACGCAGTATATATCTCCCAGTTGATACGATACTCCAGGGCTTGTATTTCCCATCATGATTTCCTTGATAGAGGATTGCTGCTCACAAGGAAGCTATTAAACCAAGAGTTACAAGTGGTGAAGCTGAAATCATCCCTTCGTAAATTTTACGGACGCCTTCACGAGTTGGTTGACAGTTACGGGATATCCGTTTCACAGATGATAGCGGATAGGTTCCTAATGTCGTAACTATAAACCCGTCCCCTTTTCCCGAATGTGACCTACCGAATTAGACTTATTACCGAGTTTGTACTAACATGAGCAACATGACGGGTGCAACCTTTGGAGCAGGATCTGCTTACCATTCCGGAGAACCTGAGATCACCCCCAGTTTTTGGTGGGGTTCGTGTTGCTAAGTCTTTAGTTTTCTATGTTGTGTTTTTTTGTGTACTATTGTTTGTCTGTTGGTCATGTTCTTCTTTAGCCATGGCGTTGTCAGTTTATTTTCGACTTCTGTATCCCTTCGGTATCTTTCGATTCTTTTTTGCAGATCATTGGAAAAGGTCTGTATAGGATCAAGTCATTAGAGAATCAGAGTCTACCACCAAATAATGTATCACACTCGATGCAATGGCAGAATCAATATGAAACAAACAAAAACCATATATTTAGACAAGATAATATTTCAAAATCTAGTTCATACAAAACTTATCTTGTATTTCATTATTACATAAAACTGAATGCCCATTTAAAAAAAAAAGTAAAATCACAAAAATACTGAACTCAGAGGAAAATTCAATCGGAAAGTCCCTAATCACATGGCAAAATCAAATGACAAAACACATCAAACGAATGGACAACAACTGTCATATTCCTGACTTGGTACAGGCATTTTCAAATGTAGAAAATGGTGGATTGAACCTGGTTTTATAGCGCTAAACCTCTCACTTGTACGACAGTCTTATCAAAAGCATTGTACAAGACAAATAAACGCGAATAATGAACACGGCGAAAACTGAAATTGTTTTGCTAAGGCACAAACCTCATCAAGTGCAAGTGTCCTAGAGGAATATTATTTTGTTAAACAGAAATGAATATAAGTGGCTAAAATCCGATTTAAAACTAACTTTTTTATTAGAACAAACCTCTTGAAAGAAGACGTTTTACCTCTTATCATGAAGTGTTACACTACCTTGTATTAAATTTGGTCAATTACATTGTCATCATTGTGTATCTCCGTGCCTATGCGACAACATTATATAAAAAGGATAATCAGAATTATGCAGGAATTACTCCCCAGAAACAACAAGTGTCATGCACAGGAAATTTATATCATACTCCATAATTACTTTAATCGCTTGATTGAATTATTCAGAGCAATTATTTCTTAGCGGAACAGTATAATTGAATTTTAAACTAGCTCTTCAGATTTCCAACTTTTTTGACAAATTTTGTCCATTAAAGTACGTTGCATCAATATTCATTTTGAATCTTGAACCTCGGTATTATTACATCAGCCCTTATAAGATTTATTTATTGTCTAACTGGCAAAGTTCATTTAGTAGCGTGATAACATAAAATCATGCGTTTAAATTGATAGTAATTTTCTAGTTTACCTAATTTTCCAGTGAGTTGACGTCTTTGTTAGGCATTAAAACAAACTTCAACTAGTAAGGAATCTTAATCCATAATAAAAATGGGAAAGTTGTCCATAATCCTCTTTCAGATTGTTTTAATGTTTGTTTTTTTTTGGCATGTTTATTTATTTTTTTAGGTGATTTACACTGAGTAGGCAACAATTTTCAGTGTTTAGAGCAAAATTTTGAAAATATATACTGAAAATATATACTGAGAGATGGACTTTTTTAGTATTTAACATTCAGATTTAGTCTGAGGTTAAAGTTTTTGGATCATCAATAACTTTGTCAAACCTTCATGGAATTTTAGAAAATTTGGACAGAAGCTTGTTTATGACCAAAAGACAGTATCCAGGGAAAATATTGATTTTTATTTTTCCGTATTTAACTGATAAATTGACTTCTTCCAAATACTGCCCATATTCAACATAATGAGTATTCTGTATAATTTTTTTCATAGTTAATAAGTAGATACAGTCTGATGTTAAAGTTTTTCAGTCATCAATAACTTTGTCAAACTTTCATGGAATTTTAGAAAATTTGGACAGAAGCTTAGTTATGACCAAAATTCAATATTAAGAGCAAAATTTTTATTTTCATTTTTTCCGTATTTAACTGATGAATAGACTAAGTTTGTTTTACATTTTGCAAATAGATACAGTCTGGGGTTAGAGTTTGTTACATACCAATTTCTTTATCAAACCTTCATAGAATTTTATGAATCTTTGGCAGAAGTTTTTTTATGATTCAGAGATAATATCTGGAGCAAACTTTTGAAAATATATTTTTTTTCATTTTCAGTATTTTTCTGATAGATGGACTTTTTACTTTTAACATTTACAGAAAGTCTGGAATTGACAAAATAAATTTGTAAACCTTCATGTATTGTTATGAAACTTGGACAAAAGCTAATCTTCAAGACCATGAAATAGCATCAAAAGAAAAAGTTCGATTTCTTTTTAAATTGTATTTTACTGATAAATTGATTCATTTTTAAGATCAACATTACACTTTTACACTGACAGCATCAATCGCACGTGAGACACAGGGTTCCGCGAAATCCTTACGAAATTTAAATATTTAAGTCTGTGTATTATTAGTATAATTTAAAGTGAAAGTTCGATATACCCGATGAGATAGCGGTCCAAAATAACTTTGTAGTCTATCACAATAAACAGTTTGTCAGTTGTAAAGTTATTCGGAGCTTGCATTGTCAAAGCATTGCATTGCGTTATAATAATCTATACCATTTTAATATCAATGCTTTAAAAACATGAAAATGAGACTTGATACATTTTTGTGCGTCTGAAGCGTTTTCTAGAATAACCTTCATCTGAACGTTCAAAACTAGACATTTGAAAGCCAAGTATTTATATGTGCCGACATAGGTTTCTACATGACCAAAATGGAACCGAAAATAATAGCAAATCAATTTAAGGTCACATTTGTCTGAAGGAGTTGGAACCTTAGTTTCTTTATTATTTCTTAACTTATAAACGGATAGTTAAACAAGGGTGTGTAATAAATAATACATGTACCGAAGTGCTGACTAATGAGGTGATGATACTTTGAGGCTAGTAATCCGCAAAGAAAGCTGCTTATCATTTGAAGCTCACTTAGTAATTCTATATCAAAATTTATGTTTGAACTTTCAATCATTTCAGGATATGCACGTAAATCTTGTACAGTAAATGGAACCTGGTGGGTAGATTCCAAGTCAAATAGAGAATGGACCGACTACACACCATGTTTAAACCTCAAGGTACGATTCTAACATAACTGGAAAAGAAGATAAGAAAGGAAAACTATAATTTAAAATTAGAGTTTACCTTACGTAAATCGCAAAGAAAAAATCACAGCAACAATAGCGATGGTTAATTGGTTATATTATATATTTTGTGGTCTTAATACTTTTGGTCGTTACTGGTTATATCAGTGTGTTGACGTTTGTATTCGGTCTTGAATATTCAAATATTTCGGCCTTGAGCATCTCTGACGAGAAATACTTGTCGAAATGCGCAATAGTTGCATGTTTAAGTTCAAGCAGACAGTATTTCAACTATCTTCAGTTGAACTACACATTGTCCATTCGATATTAGAAATGATAGATTTATTTTGCACGAACCATTATATCTAAACCTAATATAAAAGAGTCCTATTATAAATCTGTAATTTCTTGACATTTCATGCGTGTTGTTTTTCTCGAAAGACTTTTTAACCGATGACAACCTATTAATGTTTTCATTTTGTAAATTAAATTTTTTATATTCAAATAAAATCACAAACCTAAGAAATAAGAAACATATTTGTTATCAGCCTGCTCGGAACCATAAGCTGTAATTTAGTTGTTGTCTCTCTTTAAAATTGTATCACAGTTTGTCATGCCGGATCCTTTTATAGATTATTATACAGTATAGGTTTTGTCATAGTTGAATGTCGTGTGGGTACTTATAGTTGTTTACATCCGCGTTTTTTGGTCTCTGGTGGAGCGTTGTTTCAAGGACGATCGTATCACATCTTCTTGTTTCTATTACCTGTAAGATGGTTGTAAGATGGTTGTCCATAGTTATATCTCTTCCAAAAGAATAGATTACCTTAGCTGTTTTGGCAAATCCTTTTGGAATTTTGGGTCCTCAACGCTCTTCAAACTCGTACTTTATTTAGCCTTTTAATTTTTTTTATTCGAGCGTCACTGATGAGTCTTTTGTAGACGAAACGCACGTCTGGCGTACAACATTTTAATCCTGGTATCTATGGTCATATTAAAACAGAAGAAACTGGCTGTCACAAATGTACTTTATTTGAAATACTGTTGTAAAATTTAATGAAACTGATATGTTTTTTTAAGCTTTTAATTTCCATTTTAATATTTTTTATACAGATATACAAAAGTTTAGTATATGTCGGAATAGCCTGTTCAAGCGCCAGTTTAGTGCTACTTGTTCCTGCTTGTGTTGTTTTTTTGTCTTTAAGGTTTGTAGATTTTTATAGTCAAAATTCCTCAATTCAAATAATGGTACATGTATTTGTAGTTGACGTGCGATACGTCGTTATCGACGAAAACTAGAAAATTGAGAATAATGAAAAAATGAGGAAAAAACATGAACAATTCAGTACTAGTCCATATATGGATCGTGAAAATGTGATGACTACGAATTAAATAGTGCCTAAGGATATAAAAGTATGTTGAAATTCATATATAATTCTTTTTATTACACGTGCCAGGTGAGATATAACTCCAATAATATACTATAGAATCTATTGTTAAATGTGCACCCAACCAGACAGGTATATTGAAAGTGTAAGAAGACATGATGTCTATATGTAAATGAGCAAATCAAGACTTTGGGACTTCGTTAAAGTTATATTTCTTTTGGTATGCCCATTTTTAATAGTCAGTGCTGTTGATGGTTCGGTTTTATTGTGTATTTGGAACCTTTTTTCATTAATACAGATAAAAGGAGAAAGGGGGCTGGGTAAACACATATTTAACGAATCTTCGACATATGTCAATGGAACATTGAACAGTGGTTATGTTCGTTGTAGATCGAGGAGTTAAGTGTTGATGGCATATAATTGTTAGTCTCTGTTACATTTACATTTCAAACTTAAGGTACTCGAGGCTTTTAAGAGCATGATGATAATATAGACACTTGTTTATTGTGATAGACTACAAAGTTATTTTGGACCTCTATCTCATCGGGTATATCGAACTTTCACTTTAAATTATACTAATAATACACAGACTTTAAGAAAAATACTTTGTTTAAGAAAATGAAAGATCACTGTATACATTTGGTGCGGCCGAAGCATTTTTCTGTATTTACCTTCACCCGGAACGCTCAAACCCCAATATTTGAAAGCCACGGATGTATAAATATTTGAATACATGAAGAGTTATATGACTAGAACGGACCTTCAAACATCAGTTAAATCCATGTCAGGTAAACTTTGCATAAGGGAGTTGAAAGTTTAGTTTTTAGTTATAAACGGAGAGCTTGAGAAAAGTATGTTTAAAATAATGTTATACCTAAACACTGACTACTGTGCTGATGATAGCCACAGAAACTAGCGATCCTCAAGCAGCGGTTTCGATCCAGTGCTATAAAATTTAAATACAAGAGATTTAAAACTATGGATCAAATACAAACCAGGTCGAAATACGAAGAGCTAAAATACAGAATTTTTTTTTCAGGTCCCCCAATTCAGAAACCTCGTTGTATTTTGGATATTCCTTATTGTTTTTCTTGTGTCTTTAAAGATTTTTTGCGTAGATGCCAGTTCTTTAATAATTTCCATTTTTATTTATTCATAACTTCATAACTGTCATCGAGATTGGTAAACATCTTCTGTTGACCTCTTGATGACTTTTTTGGTGTATCGTAAGGTTACTGTTTCATTGAAGTTTGCTTGCATTTTCTTTTATTCAAATCATCATGTTTCATACAGCACTTTACTTTTGATAAAAAAAAATTATAACTATGGTTAAATAAATCAAGAAAAAAGACAGCAGCCTACAATTAGTGCAGATCTATGTATGAAAATATCAAAATGTGAATTCCGGGCTGACGACATTAGTTTCTGGTATCCCTCTGATATTGACATTATATTGATATTATTAAATGAACAACAGTTTATCAGTTTCTACAAAATACTTTTTCTCCGTAACGGTCACCCATTCATATATGAACCTAATAGAATATATTGTGTGTCTACATTAACCCTGAAATATGAATAATAGGAGGTGTTATTAACATTAACCACTTATCGTTTTGTATTGTAGAATGTTAAATTGTTGTTTCCAACTAAATGAAGTTTTACCTTGGCAAACATCTCTTTTATATCGACGCCAAGGCCGCAGGATAATTTTTTGTAATTCTTTAAATATTATTTTTCAAGCTCAAATTGGCAGATGTTTTTCAAATTAAAAAAAACCATCCATTTTCGTTCATTAGGCAAAAAACGTCACCAATATCCGGAAGGCGACATAGAAGAATTGTATTAATTTTTCATTTTCACGAAAAACTAGAAGTGTAACACTTTTTAAAACGAATCCATAATTCAAGATACATTAGTATATGTCACATTCATTCTCCCATTTGACAGAAACAACCAATTAATCTTTTCACGATAATATGCAAACATCTTCTGGAAATTCTATGAGTTGCAAATAGCTTAATGGAAATAATGAATGAATATCACATTCCCTTGTACGTTAAATGATACATTAGATCATTCATGAAAACTTTAGAGCATGTTTGGATATTCATGTTGGTTCAATACTTACTGATAAGAATAAATGTGAATATTATGTAAGATGTAAGAACTAGGTCGTAGGGCGACCTATAAATGTTAAAATACTATTGGCTTGCTCTGTCATGATCATATATTCAACTTCTCTTCCATTCATGACAAAACATCTAATCTTTTCACAATAAATTGAAAACGTCTATTTTTATGTACTTTCATTGTTAATATTATTATATTCTCACGTTTGATTTTGTCAGTTTTTATGGACTTCCCCCTTTTTGAATTTACCTTGGAGTTTGGTATTCTTGTTATACTTTTTTATCTAAACGATTCCTTTGGAACAATAATATGGCTGCATCAAACTAAAGTAAGTTAAAGCTCTGTTGTGAAAGATATTTATCAGAAATTGTTTACTTGTCATTTCTGAATAACATGTCGATATGTCATTCATTCTTGTCAATCTAGTTTTTGTTTTTGAATATTTTTTCCAGAACAGAAATAACTATGACTAATTTTTAATGATCGACATCCTGGTAAAAGTACATCTTAACAACATGCATTTATCTAAATCTGATAAATCATCGGATTTCGCTGACATAATTTTTTGTACATTAAAAGAAAGAAATGAAATTGTCATTGTCAAACGAAATTAAAAAGAAATAAATCAAAATGACACCGATTTACATGCATGCTTATGGGCTTATATATGAAATTTAATTGAAGCGTAAATTTGATATATGAGATCAATGTCGAAAATGCAAAAAAACAAACTACACAATTTCAGAATATTCCAGCAATTATCATCGTAAACTTGCCACCCATTTTCTTATAAAAATTTTACGTTGATACCTCAACCGTGAAAAGGAGCAATGATAAGGTGTCTCCGAAAGACGAAAATGTTCAGCAAAAAACGTTTGTTAGATCAAACAACAATGACTGATGGTAACTAAAAAATTTATCAAAATCCGAAAATGTAACGTTGATCTGAGTGAAAACTGGTTACAGTCAAAACCTGACTAGACACTCAATCTAAAAAGCATTTTTAACACATGTAGTCGTACATATTACCAATACTTGCATTTTGGTACTAAACAAGGTCACGCATGATGATTTTGTCAACCTATAATGACATCGTTTTTACGGTGACTATCCCGATCGATACGATATGTCTTTGTCTCAACTCACAAAAGACATGTTTTCACGGTTTATATCGCTAGATACAAGAAAAGACGTCTGATCTGTTATTCTATCGATTGTACGCTATTCCCGATTGTGACAGTTTGACTAAGTGGTTTTACTGTGTGGATGAAACATGCATAGCAGTAGACGCTAACCCTGTCGACGGAGCAGGTCTCGCTCTTGTAGAATTTATGCAATTCATTCAGTTATTGTTAGTTACATTGATTTGTTTCGTCTTAACCGATTAATATGAGATTTTAACATCGGTAAACTACTGTTAGCTAAATTATATTAAATATATTGGAGGTGCACTAGTTGGTGCTTAGTTGTAGAGAACGCGGTTTATCTATTAGTTGAAGTTGTGCTTTGAACTATCAATGTCTTATCAAAAATGGAATATGTGAATATTATTATTTTAATTTTTATGTTAAAATTTCAAACAGAATACATGTACTTACGTACAAGGGTAGACAATTGAAAATTATGTACTTTGGTTTAAAGATTTTACAATGTATTTATAAACTAAACAGAATATTACTCTACTGTGTAGACATTTGGGGAGTTAGTACTTTGCTTCAAAAATGTAAAAGATTTTTTTTTACACAGGCAACTGAGATCCCAGCATAGGATACGACTACATACATGTCTGTTTCTTTCCTTCATAATGACCTGCACCATGACAATTCTCTGGGATTTATTGATATATAACGACCGTCTCGATAATCCGGCTTCTACAAGGATGCATCAAAATACTGTAAGCTCTGATGTTCTTTACAAAGATATGATACTTAGTTTATGTACTTTTTGCAAATGTAATATTTGGTACTTAATTACATGTTTTAAAATATTGACTAAAAAGAAAACATTCGGTTTCTTATACTAAAGAATAATATCTTCTATGTTCTTGTCTTTGTTCTTTTTAAACAATAGTATATTGTCCTATAGATTTCCGTTCTGACAATATGTAAATACATACTTCAGTATTTTTTGAATAAGTACAAAAATCAGATCATGGACAAAATGCATCACATCAACCTTCTCGTCTCTTCTGAAAATCTATATTCCTAAACACAACTGAATATGCTATTCTGAAGTAATATAGATGTAATGAAAAAAGGAAGTTTCTCTACAAGTATCCTATATAATTGAGTATGTCTGTTATAAAAAAGATAGGTCTAAATCATAAAACAAAATACAATCACCAATTCCAAATAATTTTACATACCGATCAAGTAAGTCTGTTATGAAAGACTTATAAAATACATTGCTCGTGGAGAAACCTCTGACAAATCAATGGACACGATGCTTTAAAAATTCTATTGCTGCTTTGTTACATTCAGGTCTAAGTGGCAATGTAAAAAAAAGACGGACATGACGAAAATATCTAACAGATATCAAATTGCATAGAAGAATTTAGGTAGATTAATGTCAATACACTAGTAAAAAGTAAAATCACAAAAATACTGAACTCTGAGGAAAATTCAAAACGGAAAGTCCCTAATCAAAAAAGGTCTTTTGTGTACACAATAAGTTTAAAATATCCCTTCAATCACTCATTGCATACATTTTAGTTCATTTTAAAAATTGAGTTGCTATCAAGTTTTTTGCTTGTTTATTTTCTTATCGTTAATACTCTTCAATTTTGTCAAATGCCAACATTACATCATATATTAAGTGACATTATTTGACATCGTAAACGAGTTGATCTCAAAATAGCGCTTGCAAATTTCGGAAATAATTCTTCTTAATGATCAGATATAATCGACCTTGTGACATAAAAAGTTAAGATATACAAATAATTATTGAACTACACTAACAATATATCTGCTAACTGGTTTTGATCCGTTTGATCAAACTAAACCTTCTAGGGGAGACGCATATATGCTGAGTGGCGATGTTAGTCTTCTTTTAGTAGTTTTCTTTGTTTGATCTGAAAATATTGCAATACATGAATAAAAGCAATACAATGGTCTTCATTAATAAAAAAGTAAAATAACAAAAATACCGAAATCCAAGGGAAATTCCAAACGGAAAGTCCTTTATAAAATGGCAAAATCAAAAGCTCAAACAAATCAAACGAATGGAAAACAACTGTCATATTCCCGACTTGCTTCAGACATTTCCATTATATCCATTAATGTATCAACAGATAGTGACATACAGTAAATTGGCAGCAAAAAAACCAGTAATAATATTTAAACTGGTTCTGTTACAGTTTATGTAAAAAAAGGAAGATACCATGCGGTATATCGAAGGGAAACAGAAACAAAAATGGGCAAACGAACAGACAATTTATATTTTGGCATTGCACAAGGGCATGGTATTTTCAAACTGTTTATGACGCCTTAGAACTTAATCTGTTTGATATGTACTAATTGCTATTTTTCTGCCACAATTAATTTACATTTTTTAGTTCAAATGGGCTATAAGCTTTGAACCAACTTTAAGTCACTGAGAGTTCTCTTAGATCGATACTTTGTGTATTTGTATATTCGTTAGTTAGTTTTTGTTCTTCTTTCCGATTTGATGTGTCAAACCCTCCAACTTTTACAATGTGTTCTTGTATTGTGATGTAACACCTCTGTCACATGATAGGTGGATGGTTGAGTGCTCGCAAACATGTTTAACCCCACCACATTCTGTACGTGCCTGTCTCAAGTCAGGAGCCTTTAATTCAGTGGTCTTCGCTGATTGCTGTCTATAATGTTGTTCTTTCGATTGTTGTTTTATCATAAGTCAATAAGCCGGTTGTTTTATCGATTCAATTACCTCACAGTTTTTCATGTCGTTTCCTTTTAGAGCTAACAATATGGAATGGGTTTTGCTCATTGTTGAAGGCCGTATGGTGATCTTTATTTGATAACATATTGATCATGTGCAATCATACCATAGCTCCTTATCAATATATTAATAAATGAACAGAAATATAGAACATGCTTTAATACGGTAATGTTTAGTGTGTGTCCAATTGCTTCCAAAACTGATTTCGATAATATGTAAACAAAAGGGCACTGATGCATTTAGGTTAAGAAATTACAAACATTACTAAAAATATTCACACATATACATTGTACAATTTTTTTTCTTTACATCTAAAATGCAATAATCACCCTTCCCCCACCGATTGTGAAAATGACATCAGAATCTCTGTTTTTTTTCTATAAACTTACTTTTATAGATCATAGTGTAAATATGATGCCAGATATTCATATGTTTTTTCAGCTTATATTTAACTTTACAATCGGTTGCAGATATTTTGCAGAGTGTTGTATGCAGTACATAGATACTGTTCAACATGCAATTACTTTTGGATGTTTTGTGAAGGGTTTTACTTGCATCGGTTACTAATACAAGCTTTCAGAGTTCCCAAAACTCTTACCTGGTATTACATCACTGGATGGGGTAAGAATAAAGATTCAACCTTCATTGGCTGGATAAATATTGCATATGTCACATTTAAAGAAATTTCACATATCGATTCATGATAAGCTAAGAAGCAAATAGTTCCAGCTCTGAAAATCAAGACGTTATGCATTTTTGTTTTGCGGTATATATGGCCCTGTTCTCAAATAAATTATAAAATTTGATGTCAACAAGTCATATGACTATTACATATACGTTAGTGGTATGTCTTTAGTAATTATGCCTGATCATGTCCCATTTCAAAAGAATCTGTTGATATACAGCTTTTTTCTCCAATCAAAAGATTACGAAAGGATACATTAGCCTTGAAAAACATTTGCAAAGCTTTTAAGTTCTGCAGCGTTAAAAATGGTCCTTGGTTTTCAGATAAAATGTCAGAAAATAATTTACAATTTCATTTATAGAGGAATTGCATTTGACTGATGCGACATCCCATTTAGAAATCTCTTCGATATCAGACACACAGAATGAAATACTATCATGCGTACTTTTTTATATCAATAACCACAAATTTAACATTATTTATAAAGTATAACATATTTAAGAAAATTTATTTAATTTCCTATTCAGGATAATGGAGAAAATATTACTGACAGGTCGAAATCAAATTAAAGCCAGTATGTACACATAGAGAAGGAACCTTTAGTTTTCCTATAATATTATTGTTTGCATTGCGTTCAATAAAAAGAAATCACTAAGAAATAAGCAAAACATAAAATCTGATGAAATCGTGACGATTCTGAAAGACATTAGCAGCAATAAAAAGTAATCAACGACGTGTGTTTCAAATAAAGCAGTTGTTAAAATATTTTGAAGCATTGCATTACTGATTTATTTTGGTCCGAATTCATTAGAATTTCATAACAAATAATAAATTATATTTTACAGGAGGTTCGTTCCTACCTATATTGGTTTACGTCATTGTTAGACTTACTACAGCTGATTATGAGTGAGTAGTACGTCCTATTAGACTTACTATAGCGGATCATGAATACGTCCTTATAAGACTAATATAGCGATGTTTCGACTTCATTTAAGTTGTTTTCCATGTCAAGAGGACTTTTAAAATTGTTATCGCATGTTCGTACCAAACTTAACAGATTGTACCGTATTAATTTGGTTAAATAATATACATTTGTTGTAATTAATTAGCTTTTTTAATGTCAATTGTAAAATTCTTGTGTTTAGCATCAAACCATTGTTTTGTCTCTTAAACTAAATAATTTAAGTATAAAAGACTATAAAACCGTCATAACTGTAGGTGTCAGTAATTATAATCTGGTGACAAAAAAGAAAAAACAAACTGAAAAAAGAGTTCATGGTTTGGACCACTTACACATAATAAACATCAAGTACACAAAATTATTAGACAGCCAGATAGGTTGAATTTTGTTGACCATATCTTGCGATTAAAAAAGGAAAATACCAGGCTCATAAGTTTGTTCTCCAGACTCGCGATTCGTTCACAAACGACTCATCAGTGACGCTCAAATCAAATAAGTTAAAAGGTCAAATAAGGTACGTAGTTATACATAGAATATAAAGGGACGTCGATGCCACTGCTGCTGGAGGTTTCCTCCTCGAGGATATCACTAGCCCAGTAGTCAGCACATCTGTTTTGACATGAATTCTCATTGATATGGTCATAACTGTAAATTTACTGTTGACAAAACTTTGAATTTTTCAAAACACTCAAAATTGTATACCCAAGGAATAGATTAATTTAGCTGTATTTGCAAAACCTCTCGGAAGTTCTCAATGCACTTCAACTTCGTACTTTAGTTGACCTTTTTCACTTACTTGATTATAGCGACACTTATGAGTCTTTTTTAGACGAAACGCGCGTCTGCCGAATAAAATCTAAATCCTGGTATCTATGATAAGTTTTTATACTCGATATCTGATTGGATTTTATGCACTATATTTGATTTAGAAAATATATGTTTAGTAATTGTCGAGAAGCGTCAAAACTGAAAGGGCGAAAAACCCCAAACCAAAGAAGAACGCACAAAAACAGTTGAATAATATCTTGCTAACTTATATATAAGTATGACTAGGTCAATATTTCTGCACAAATCATACTAGAAAGTAAAGCAGACAACGTTAAGGTTTAACTATTTTAAAACTTGTATTAAGTAAATGTAACTTTAATTTTGAATTATTCACTGCTGCATCATGGCTATATGCTAATAGTCTCATTTCTATACATTTTAATTTTAGATAATTTATTTGTAAATTTTAGCTGCTGGGTTAAAAATATCGGTATTTACGAATGGATATTGTACATTCCAAACCTCATATGCATATTGGTAAGTTTAAGATAATAATTCATAAGAATTGGTATGCTCCTTACATAAAAAATGTTCCAACTGAGATATAATGAAGAACGACTGCAATCCACACTACATACGTTTTACTGTCATCAGCACGATTTGGTTGACCGACACGATATGTCTGTGTCTTAACTGACTACCGACATGTTTTCGCAGTCTTCGTTTTAATATATCTGAATAGTCGTCTACCGATTGTGTCCTATTCTCGAATGTGACATTTTGTCTTAGTGTTGATTCGCTTTTCGACGTACCCTTCTTGTTCCAATTGGAGTTCATGCGATGCCCTCAATTTTTGTTCTGTTTTGCCTTGATTTGTCTTTTTTAATCGACATATGAGATTTGAATATCGGTAAACTACTGTTGTGTATATTTATGACGTCTGTATTCTAGATCCGTCTGAGGTTTACTGATTTACCAGTCTTATTCAAAAGTTGAAATTGGGCTTTGAAATAGTTTTCAGTTGCTATGAGTTATCTTTGGCAATACAATTTTTTTTTAGACCTCGAAGTTACTGAAAGATGGTTCAAAGCCAATTTAAACTATGAATATACCATGTTTTTTTACAAGACTAGAATATCAATCAATACTTTAACGGATATTTTGTAAAGACGTCATTGTGTTGTGCTGTTACATTACTGACCCAGTTAAGAGGGATTCACGCATTTTAAATCCCGCCTCATCCTTATGTGCCTCTCCCAAGCCAGAAACCTGTAATTCCGTGGCTGTAGTTGGTTGTTGTCCGTCATATCTGTTTGTTATTGATTATTGTAGTATAATTCAGGCTGCTGATGTTCTTTTGTTTTCATTTGTTTCACGTTCTGTCATATCAGGACTTTTTTTGCTCAATATACGGTATTAGTATTGTTCATTATTTGAGTACATACGGTTTTCACATATTTTTTATTTGGTCTATGGATAGTTTTTCATTGGCAATTGGTACCCTGCCAGTGAATATGACGCAAAGAAATATGTTTGCTCCTTACCTGAGAGAGAGAGAGAGAGAGAGAGAGAGAGAGAGAGAGAGAGAGAGAATGGTAGTTAAGCGTTATTCAAGCAACCTTGCTCTTGAAAATGATATCTATTAGTTGGGGGTTTTTTTTCAGACCCAGTTCATGGGGATAAATTTTCTGTTCGCTGAATCATCGTCTGTATTACCGATAATAAATTCGTTTATTTCAGTTAAACCTGATATTTCTGTGTAGTATTATTAGGATAATGTTGACCAGACTTCAAAGTCACCCCAACGAACCAAGTAACTACAGGTAAAATTCAATATACAGTATAAGTCAGATGCTTGTATAATCGTAGTATATTTGTTTCAGTATCTATATTATCAATACATATGGTTTACTGTTATGAAAATAGGGAAATGCTTCATTTCCATATATCATTGTTACTTTGATGTGACATATAACTTATTGTTGGAAATTATGGTCTCTATATTATAGATTAAGTAATTGGAATTACCCTTCAGAAATCTTTCAAAAAATAGTTTAAAGCTGTCATAGATCAATGTGACTTTCAGGATCACCTTGTCAGCCGTCGTCCTTCATACATACTTGATTGTGAAATTTAGAATTTGGTTGTTATGCTAGCTCTTTTCTAGCATTTATTTAATTCCCTTTCAATATTTCCATGAATTTTTCACATATGAATCTTTTAAATTATTTCAAATACTAAGTTTGTACCCCAAACATTGTTGGCTTTAGCCAGATTACAATTCTTTATGGAATGTTTGGTTACATTCTCTTCAACTTCATAATTGATTTGGTCTGAAAACTATATTGATTTGAGAGCCAATAATGAGTCTTGTTTAGCCGAAATGCGCATCTGGCGTACACAGTATGGTATCTTAGATGAGGTTTATCATTCTCTGTTTCATCTTTACTGCAGTTAATAAATGCAGTGTTATCAGTGTCAATAACCGTTTAGTGAGAGGTAAGCCAACGAATTCACTTCAATCGTAATATATCTCTTATGATGTAGAATAAAACCCATAGGAGGTGCAATACACTTGTGATTGGAGAAAGGGGATAGCAAAAAATGTGAAAGGTCATATTTTTAACGATTATACCCTTCTGCAGTCAGTTTATTTTTGATTGTTTACTTTACAACTATTTTTCAAATATACTCTAAATATAGTTGGTGTATTTTTGAGTTACGTTTGGTAAAACATAATTTAAAACAATGTTGACCCGTAAACAGGTGATACGAAATTTGAATTACATAACAATGTTTATGAATGAAAGATATGCACGACATTATAAAATTAACTTTTCGTATTTGTTTGCTGAAATTTTATTCCCTGGAAGTTCAGTGACTCATTACAGGGGAATCCAGACTAACGCTGTAATCTGGGTAAAATGTCATACAGCAAATGTGCAATATCAAAATTTTGTTTGATTTTAAAAAAGTAATGATAATGATATTAATAAAAAAAAACACCGTATTTCCTTTTTGATACAATAATACGAAAAACGTTTATGATATTGCAAAGATAACCTTTGTTTTCAATTTGCCGATTCAGAGTAGTTGTCAATGAAATAAGGACAATGTTGTCATTTGTCATGTTTTAAGAGCTGTATAGGAAAAAGCTAAGTATACCAGTGTTGTCTTTTTTTTCGTTGCCTAGCTATTAAAAACTTTAAAAAGTAAGAAAAGGTTAACATCCGAGGATGTGAAAATCCATTTATTTTAATTTCGTAACAAAATTTTACGAGAAAAAACTTTTTTTAAAAACAGGTTTAACCAACCGTTTTCTTTGGAAAATTACGGTACCAAGTCAAGAATATGACAATTGCTTTCCGTTTGTTCTGTTGGTTGATATGGTCGAATGTGTGTTTTTGTTAAGTTTTATAGACTTTCTCCTTTTCGAATTTGCCTTGGAGTTCAGAGTTTTTGTTAATACTTTATTTTTGACAAAAGACAATACGCGTTTTACATTAAAAATTGTGCACACCTTTTTGTCAGTGTTATTGTTGGTTTCAATATAAACTATTTTTCAACTTTTTTCATAAACAGCAAATTATATTTGCAATAAGGAATTTTGAATCCGAAATTAAAAGGTTTTGATGTATTTACATGGTAGTGTTTTTGTTCATAACTATTATTATGACTATTTCGAAATTTTATGTATACGCGTAATACCATTGATAAGAAAACGCGCTAGACCTGCGTGGTCGCAGGAGACAGCATTTTCTCATGGTACTTTACTATTGTTATTTACTATATCATAGTCATCTAATTGATATAGACTTTTTAAAATAAATAAAATAAAATAAACATTATAATCAATTAGGAGTGCACTATTTTATCAGACAATTTATTTTAGACGTGGTCTTAAAGCGACATTCCTTCTGGTTCCATTGTTCGGCATTCAGTTATTCTTCATCACATACAGACCACCAGCAGAAAAAGCAGATCGTCTTCTATATGAAATTGTATCTAAAGTCATCATAGATTCTCAGGTATATTTCATAGAAAAATATGCGCCTTATTAACATTGGTTATTTTAGATTCCGCTTGACAAAAACAAATACCACTTTAAAAATTGTATGAGTCCGAAGCGCTTTTTGAGGTTTACCTCAATTAGGAACGCTCAAAGCCAAATATTTGAAGATCAAAGATGTATAAGTACCCAAACAAGTGATGAACTATATGACCAAAAGGGCCCTAAATCCATCTTTGCCTGAGGAAGTCTGAACCTTAGTATCTTGATCTTTAATACATTTATAAAAGGTATAATGAGCTGCTGATACCCTCGGGTACTAATAGTCCACCAGCAGCGGTATCTAAATAAAATTAGCGGTAGAAATTTTGTATGATTCAAAATTTGCACAAAACTACCATCTGATGGATAAGAATTTTAATAACCTTTGGTGTTGTATTCTTTCGTAATTTGTCCATTCCCTGGGAGGTAAAGATTTTAGCATCTCGTTTCTATAGATTGCCATTTAAGATCGTATGATTTTCGTTGCAAATTGTAGAATTTGACTGAAAAATTAAAAAGAAAATCACCGACACATATTCAAGTCAATCAAATTAAAAATCAGAGTGGCTTTGTTAACGTCATTGGTTCTTTTAAAAATTTATTATTTTATGAAGTTTGTAATAATTTGGTCATACTAACATTAATTTTAATGCACCAGGTGCACATTAAGATATTTAATGTCTCATCAGTGATACTCGAGGCCAAAATATCTTATAATTCAAAACTTAATACAAACGTTGAAGATATGATAAAACAAAAAAACGATCAAAAGTATTGCCATACCCAGACAAGGATTCAGAGCAGAGCTGTTCATGAGGGATATACATTCCTCATGAACAGCTCTGCTCTGAATGAGGGATATACATTCCTAAATTTTAAATAATTTACAAAATATTTTAACACCAAGTTTCAATACATCGTATTAAATTGTGTAAATGAGGAGTGTTTAAAATCATTATACATATGAATTAAACATATTCCAATTATACAATCCAAATTATGAAACATCAATAGAAAATACCTGTCAATACAACACGTTATAACATGTGATTGATTTCATTCTAGCCTAAAATAGAAATAAAATGTTGTCTTTGGTTTTACTAATTACTGTTCAAATCTTTTTATCATTTTGTACAAATTTCGATAACTTAAAGTTACAGTCCAATCATTTTTTTTTTCGATTGCATAACATATTCTATTAAATTCGAGTAATACTTGAAGGTTACACCATCTTTTTTTCTTTTTGTAAGCATAAAATCATCACGATTGTAATGAAAAATAAATCAAATTACATGAATGTTCAAATATACGCTTTTATGTCTAATATTTCTCGAAAGTCTATGAACGTAGAATTGAAGTATTGAAACGAAATTAAAAATTGATAATCCATTTTCCAAAACCATTGTTGGAATCAGGAGAGAAAAAGAATCAAACATGTCATATTCATGTTTTATTTGGTATATGTGATAAAATATTAATTCACGCATCAATAGTGAATTTTTACTTTGGTTTGCATTAAAATTCTTAGAAAAACATGTTCAGCTTTAAATTTTACACCAGATAATTTACTTGTATTCCTTTTATTATCCTTCATTTAAACTAGTTTTACATGTAAATGGCAGTAGTGACAGAAATTCTTATTCACTGATCCTTATTTTAAATATCCTTCATTTAAACTAGTTTTACATGTAAATGGCAGTAGTGACAGAAATTCTTATTCACTGATCCTTAGTCTAAATATCCTTCATTTAAACTAGTTTTACATGTAAATGGCAGTAGTGACAGAAATTCTTATTCACTGATCCTTAGGCTAAATATCCTTCATTTAAACTAGTTTCACATGTAAATGGCAGTAGTGACAGACATTCTTATTCACTGATCATTAGGCTAAATATCCTTCATTTAAACTAGTTTTACATGTAAATGGCAGTAGTGACAGAAATTCTTATTCACTGATCCTTATTTTAAATATCCGTCATTTAAACTAGTTTTACATGTAAATGGCAGTAGTGACAGAAATTCTTATTCACTGATCCTTAGGGTGAATATCCTTCATTTAAACTAGTTTTACATGTAAATGGCAGTAGTGACAGAAATTCTTATTCACTGACCCTTAGGCTAAATATCCTTCATTTAAACTAGTTTTACATGTAAATGGCAGTAGTGACAGAAATTCTTATTCACTGATCCTTAGGCTAAATATCCTTCATTTAAACTAGTTTTACATGTATTTGGAAGTAGTGACAGAAATTCTTATTCACTGGCCCTTAGGCTAAATATCCTTCATTTAAACTAGCTTAACATGTAAATGGCAGTAGTAACAGAAATTCTTATTCACTGACCCTTAGGCTAAATATCCTTCATTTAAACTAGTTTTACTTGTAAATGGCAGTAGTAACTTTAAACTAGCTTTACATGTAAATGGCAGTAGTGACAGAAATTCTTATTCACTGACCTTTAGGCTAAATATCCTTCATTTAAACTAGCTTTACATGTAAATGGCAGTAGTAACAAAAATTCGTATTCACTGACCCTTAGGCTAAATATCCTTCATTTAAACTAGTTTTACATGTAAATGGCAGTAGTAACAGAAATTCGTATTCACTGACCCTTAGGCTAAATATCCTTCATTTAAATTAGTTTCACTTGTAAATGGCAGTAGTAACAGAAAGTTTTATTCACTGACCCTTAGGCTAAATATCCTTCATTTAAACTAGTTTTACATGTAATTGGCAGTAGTGACAGAAATTCTTATTCACTGACCCTTGAGTAAATATCCTTCATTTAAACTAGTTTTACAAGTAAATGACAGTAGTGACAGAAATTCTTATTCACTGACCCTTAGGCTAAATATCCTTCATTTAAACTAGTTTTACATGTAAATTGCAGTAGTGTCAGAAATTCTTATTCACTGACCCTTAGGCTAAATATCCTTCATGTAAACTAGTTTTACATGTAAATGGCAGTAGTGACAGAAATTCTTATTCACTGACCCTTAGGGTAAATATCCTTCATTTAAACTAGTTTTACATGTAAATGGCAGTAGGTACAGATATTCTTATTCACTGACACTTAGGCTAAATATTGTTCATTTAAACTCTGACCCTTAGGGTAAATATCCTTCATTTAAACTAGTTTTACATGTAAATGGCAGTAGTTACAGAAATTCTTATTCACTGACCCTTAGGCTAAATATCCTTCATTTAAACTAGTTTTACATGTAAATGGCAGTAGTGACAGAAATTCTTATTCACTGACCCTTAGGGTAAATATCCTTCATTTAAACTAGTTTTACATGTAAATGGCAGTAGTTACAGAAATTCTTATTCATTGACCCTTAGGGTAAATATCCTTCATTTAAACTAGTTTTACATGTAAATGGCAGTAGTAACAGAAATTCTTATTCACTGACCCTTATGCTAAATATCCTTCATTTAAACTAGTTTAACATGTAAATGGCAGTAGTGACAGAAATTCTTATTCACTGACCCTTAGGCTTAATATCTCAGACAATTCGGACGTACAAAATCTATAAAGTGTTTATTTCATTGACTAGCTCTTGGTCGATACCGCTGATGATAGACTGTTAGTCCCCGAGGCTATTATCAACTTAGTAGATTGTGCTTCGGTACTGACGTGATTTATAACATCTTCTTATCTAAAGTTCCAAGTTTATAAATTAAGAAATTATTAAGAAAGTGTGGTTCCAACTCCCTCAGGCAAAAAAACATAACCAAAAAAAAACCGAACTCCATAAACTGACAAAATTAAATGTGAAACTTTATCAACCAACGGAACGAATGGAAAACAACCATCACTTTCCTGATTGGAGCAGACATTATATGAAGAAAATGGTGGATTAAACCTGGTTTTAAAGCTAGCCAAACCTCCCTCCAATATGACAGTTGTTTATAGTTCCGTTCTATTGACAAAGTGAGTGAGCAACCCAAACAGAGCAAAGTATGTTTGTTATACTTTTTTTTGCCTTTGATGAATTTTGCTAATCTGTTCAGGTCCTTTTTGGTCATATTGCCTTTAACGTTACAGCAAATTTACGAATCCCTGGCTTTCAAATGTTTAGGTTCGAGCATTCCAGATGAATGTGAATCCAGAAAAGCGCTTTAGACACTCAAAAGTTAAAAAATGTTTATTCCAATTTATACGTATCATAAAATTATAAATTTACCTTCAGTGATAGTATAAGTTCTTTTGAAACTCGTTAAAATTATCTGGGCTTTGATGATATAAATGTCTAGATATAGAATTTCGAAGTTTCCAAGATTCTTGCAGGTTGATATATGAATAATATTTGTATTAAAAACAGAAGGTATGGTAAGGCCAATTATTTGCCCCTTGAGTTCTAAAATAAATTAACTTTGATAAATCTACCAAGATAATATCCTAAAGATGTTCATAAAATATCAGACATCAGTACCAATACTTTTGGATTTTGTCTTACATATTGGCATAAGGGCTTTAATTTATTCCATTTAGTGCAAAGCTGAACAAACGACCAAACTAGCCTCATTTTGAAATATTATCAGTCATATTTAGAAATAGCCAAGACTTATTATTCTCAACAAAGATATTTTGCTACCAGATGTATTATACAAAGATGTTAATGTGTGTACAATAGAAATAAGAAGATGTGGTATGAGTGCCAATGAGACAACTCTCCATCCAAGTCACAATGTGTAAAAAGTAAACAATTATAGGTCAAAGTACGGCCTTCAACACGGAGCCTTGGCTCACACCGAACAGCAAGCTATAAGGGGCCCCCAAAATGACTAGTGTAAAACAATTCAAACAGGAAAACCAACGGTCTAATCTATATAAAAAACGAGAAACGAGAAACACTTATGAACCACATCAACAAACGACAACCACTGAAACAGGTTCCTGACAATAACTTTTTTGGGCTTTCCTGTCTCATTTCTGTTTTGTCCAAACACTAAGCAAGGATTGTCATTTTATGTCATAAATGTCAATTACAAAATGTTAATGACAACATGGTAAATTCACAAGTTACCAGTCTGCCCTAAAGTGTCCAGATTCAACCGTGTCATTTGACAATAAAAGTAGCATAATTTTGAAAGGCTTGAATAAGTTTACTATTTTGAAATTTCAAGGGCCAAGTTATTGCTCCTATTATACCTACTACTTTTGCAAAAGGAACTGAAAAATATCGCAGGACTAAAGCAAGCATTCCGTTCATACAATCAAAATAATGCAACATTAAACAACACCGATCAAATTAAACTATTTTGTTTTCGACAGACATTTCTCTGCAGAAATATCGATCTCTGGTTCCCAGACTTTACGTACTATGAGTAGATCTTATGAATTGGTGAAACTATAGAATATATAATTTAAGAACATAGATGCCAAATCATTTATACAAAGCGCTAACCTACATTTTCTTCTTAAGATATGATTATTGAAAGAACATTTGAAACCTAATAATTAACACACTCAGTAGATAAGTGATCAGTAACAACAAATGAAACCTCTTTGTCGTAAAAAAAAAAACAAATATATAACAATACTTCAAACGATTCAAATTTGTTCGCCACTTCATCTTATTCTAATTTTGATTCTGTATGAATCAATGCTAGAAAAAAGTCTTCCTTACTTTTGATTTGTTTTTTTCTTCTTTTTAACAGGGATCCCTAGTGTCATTAATATTTTTCTACATGAACGCAGAAGTGAGTATTTCACATGATATAATTTCAGTATTATTTATCGTAATGTTTAAAAAATGAAACTGCCTGATAAATCTCGTTTCATAAGGGAATTAGCAAAGACAATATGATTAATGAAATACATTGGATATTGGAAATAATTTTGAAACTGATCACAACTGCAAAGTTAAACAGGTACTTTTTAGCTCACCTGGCCCGAAGGGCCAAGTGAGCTTTTCTCATCACTTGGCGTCCGTCGTCCGTCGTCGTCCGGCGTCGTCCGTCGTCGTCCAGCGTCGTCCGTCGTCGGCGTTAACTTTTTACATTTTGAACTTCTTCTAGAGAACTACTGAATGGAATGAAACCAAACATGGCATGAATGTTCCTTATGAGGTGCTGACCAAGTGTTGTTACTTTGTAGCGGATCCATCATCCAAGATGGCCGCCAGCGGGGGACTTAGTTTAGCATAGGACCCTACGGGAAATACATACAAATGTCTTCTTTTAGAGAACCACTGAATGGAATGAAACCAAACATGGCATGAATGTTCCTTATGAGGTTCTGACCAAGTGTTGTTACTTTGAAGCCGATCCATCATCCAAGATGGCCGCCAGCGGGGGACTTAGTTTAACATAGGACCCTATGGGAAATACATACAAATGTCTTCTTTTAGAGAACCACTAAATGGAATGAAACCAAACATGGTATGAATGTTTCTTATGAGGTGCTGACCGAGTGTTGTTACTTTGAAGCCGATCCATAATCCAAGATGGCCGCCAGCGGGGGACTTAGTTTAACATTGGACCCTATGGGAAATACATACAAATGTCTTCTTTTAGAGAACCACTGAATGGAATGAAACCAAACATGGCATGAATGTTCCTTATGAGGTGCTGACCAAGTGTTGTTACTATGAAGCTGATCCATAATCCAAGATGGCCGCCAGCAGGAGACTTAGTTTAACATTGGACCCTATGGGAAATACATACAAATGTCTTCTTTTAGAGAACCACTGAATGGAATGAAACCAAACATGGCATGAATGTGTCTTATGAGGTGCTGACCGAGTGTTGTTACTTTGAAGCCGATCCATCATCCAAGATGGCCGCCTGCAGGGGACTTAGTTTAACATGGGACTCTATGAGAAATACATACAAATGTCTTCTTTTAGAGAACCACTGAATGGAATGAAACCAAACATGGCATGAATGTTCCTTATGAGGTGCTGACCAAGTGTTGTTACTTTGAAGCCGATCCATAATCCAAGATGGCCGCCAGCGGGGAACTTAGTTTAACATGGGACCCTATGGGAAATACATACAAACGTCTTCTTTTAGAGAATCACTGAATGGAATGAAACCAAACATGGCAAGAATGTTCCTTATGAGGTGCTGACCAAGTGTTGTTACTTTTCAGCCGATCCATCATCCAAGATGGCCACCAGTTGGGGACAGTGTTTAACAAATGACCCTATGGACATTACATACACATGTCTTCTTTTAGAGAACCACTGAATGGAATGAAACCAAACATGGCATAAATGTTCCTTATGAGGTGCTGACCGAGTGTTGTTACTTTGAAGCCGATCCATCATCCAAGATGGCCGCCAGCGGGGGACTTCCTTTAACATAGGACCCTATGGGAAATACATACAAATGTCTTCTTTTAGAGAACCACTGAATGGAATGAAACCATACATGGCATGAATGTTCCTTATGAGGTGCTAACCAAGTGTTGTAACTTTGAAGCCGATCCATCATCCAAGATGGCCGTCAGCGGGGGACTTAGTTTAACATAGGACCCTATGGGAAATACATACAAATGTCTTCTTTTAGAGAACCACTGAATGGAATGAAACCAAACATGGCATGAATGTTCCTTATGAGGTGCTGACCAAGTGTTGTTACTTTGAAGCCGATCCATCATCCAAGATGGCGCCAGCGGGGGACTTAGTTTAACATAGGACCCTAAGGGAAATACATACAAATGTCTTCTTTTAAGGAACCACTGAATGGAATGAAACCAAACATGGCATGAATGTTCCTTTTGAGGTGCTGACCAAGTGCTGTTACTTTGAAGCCGATCCATAATCCAAGATGGCCGCCAGCGGGGTACTTAGTTTAACATAGGACCCTACGGGAAATACATACGAATGTCTTCTTTTAGAGAACCACTGAATGGAATGAAACCAAACATGGCATGAATGTTCCTTTTGAGGTGCTGACCAAGTGTTGTTACTTTGAAGCCGATCCATCATTCAAGATGGCCACCAGCTGGGGACAGTGTTTAACAAAGGACCCTATGGACAATACATACAAATGTCTTCTTTTAGAGAACCACTGAATGGATTGAAACCAAACATGGCATGAATGTTCCTTATGAGGTGTTGACCAAGTGTTGTTACTTTGAAGCCGATTAATAATCAAAGATGGCCGCCTGCGGGGGACTTAGTTTAACATAGGACCTTATGGGAAATATTTACAAATGTCTTCTTTTAGAGAACTACTGAATGGAATGGAACCAAACATGGCATGAATGTTCCTTATGAGGTGCTGACTAAGTGTTGTTACTTTGAAGCCGATCCATCATCCAAGATGGCCGCCAGCGGGGGACTTAGTTTAACATAGGACCCTATGGGAAATACATACAAATGTCTTCTTTTAAGGAACCACTGAATGGAATGAAACCAAACATGGCATGAATGTTCCTTATGAGGTGCTGACTAAGTGTTGTTACTTTGAAGCCGATCCATAATCCAAGATGGCCGCCAGCGGGGGGACTTAGTTTAACATAGGACCCTAAGGGAAATGCATACGAATGTCTTCTTTTAGAGAACCACTGAATGGAATGAAACCAAACATGGCATGAATGTTCCTTATGAAGTGCTGACCAAGTGTTGTTACTTTGAAGCCGATCCATCATCCAAGATGACCACCAGTTGGGGACAGTGTTTAACAAAGGACCCTATGGACATTACATACACATGTCTTCTTTTAGAGAACCACTGAATGGATTGAAACCAAACATGGCATGAATGTTACTTATGAGGTGCTGACTAAGTGTTGTTACTTTGAAGCTGATCCTTCATCCAAGATGGCTGCCAGCGGGGGGACTTCCTTTAACATAAGACCCTATTGGAAATACATACAAATGTCTTCTTCTAGAGGTGCACTGAATGGAATGAAACCTAACATGGCATAAATGTTTCTTATTAGGTGTTGATGAAGTGTTGCTACTTTATTGCAGATTTACTGTTCAAGATTGCCACCAGGATTTTTTATTAAATTACAGGGCCAATATTAAACCAAACTTGGCCTCACTCATTATTAGGGTATCTGTTATGATTTTAATCTATTTTAACATGATTTCCAAAACCAAAGTAGAATCAGGTGAGCGACACAGGCTCTTGAGAGCCTCTAGTTTGTTTAGGGGCCAGCTGAAGGACGCCTCCGGGTGCGGGAGTTTCTCGCTGCATTGAAGACCCATTGGTGGCCTTCGGCTGTTGTCTGCTCTATGGTCGGGTTGTTGTCTCTTTGACACATTCCCCATTTCCATTCTCAATTTTAACTTTACTAAATATGAAAAAAGATTTAATTGGACTCTAAAGAAATGTATCTTTACTTAACTTTAGCAGACGTTTGATATCATTTTTTTCATTCATTTTTTCTTCAATTTTTTCATATAAATGTATATCGTTGTTGCTTCACTGATAATTAAAATTTTCTCATCTATATATATATATACCTATTCTATAAAAAAATGTTTTTTAGGTGCACACAGCATTAAAGTACCAGCTTCGTGTAATCCATTTACAGTTTCCGTATAAAACAAAGAAAAGTATCTCTAAGAACCAGTCTGCGACACATATGTCTTCAATACGCCAAACAAGCCAAAAAAATGGATGTTATAATGGTCCTAAATTTGAGAAAACCGTTCATATCAATGGAGATGTTAAAGAATATGTATTTTCATAATCCACCGAATTAAAACTGTATCAGAAATAATCCGAAACCTATAAAAATATATATATTTTTTACATCACAAATATTTCAGGTTGCATTGAATAAGATGTTGTTAATGGTGTAGAAAAAATTGACAAACTGCTTTAAATACAATTTTGAGCACCTGTGTTTACAAGTCCTCAATTATTTTGTTCGTCCTTTATTATAACTCCCTCAGTCAAACCTAACATTAGCAATTAGTAGCAGTAGTAGTAATTGCTTTTTGTCAATCCTTTCTTATTTATGTTAATAGCGCTTTATTAAATGTTATTGTTTCTACAATGTCATGTTTGTTCCAAGATGCACGTAGAGGTTTTCAACAGAGAAATGAGTCATCGGCGTTCAAGAGTTGTTTTGATGACCTGCTTGTACTTTATACTACATATATAATTTGTATCATTTTTTCACTCGTTAGTTCATGTTAGTCTTCTGAACCCTTGTTATACTAATGGTATTTTTTTCATTCAGTCTACTGTTGCTCGTTGTCTTTGAACCGTTTTTCTTCTTCAAATTATCTCGACTCATCGTTTCTTCACTTCCTTAACAATCGTTGTTGGAATATTAAACCTTGGATTGGTTTTCATAAATAGTGGCAATTTTTAGAATAAATTAATATAAATGATATGATTTATGTGTGCACAAAACATGTTTAAAGGCGTCTAGCAAATATCGGGAATGAAAATCGTTAATGCCTGATAACATTGGTTAGGTTGTTTTACGAAAATACATATTCACGTGTTTTGTCATCTGTTTTGATAGCCTTCTTAGGTTTGAAAGCTTTGTTATATCCATTCATTTGAATATGTGAACGAATGTTTGTAAGCGATAGGTGACTGGTGGAGAAATTGTTCACAAAATCTCGTTGGTTTCCACGAGTACAGGGTAATTCAGTGACATGCCAAAAATGTTTCAAAGATGAATGTACCTAAAGTAAAAAAAAATAAAAATGTTACATATATGGATAAGCAAGATAAAACAGTTTGTAAGATTCTTGGTTAGGCATGTTAAAATTTTTTGCACCAAACGTCATTGAAACTTGTTTTTTTCTACTTTATTATTTTTATTTGTCTTATGTTAATATTAAAAAAATTATAAGGGATCAGACAATGATTCACATGAAGATTCATATGAAAATAAATCATGGAAACAATAAATGCTTAATATCGATGACTTATGTTAATTCCTATTGATTATTTTATTAATCTTTTTTTTTTCACTCTGTCTTGCGACAACATTCTTCCTTACAGAGTTCTTCCTGGGTTTATAAATGTTCACAATATGTATATCTTTGTGATGATAAGTTGTGGCAGAATATGTTTGTTCTATTTATCATTTCGGCACTTCGCTTTGTATAAGGTTTTTTTTTAATTAACAAGACTTAACAAATATAACAGAATTTAGTTCCATACTGTTTTTAGTTGCAGTTAAATTATGAATATTCCAATAATTAGTAAATTTTAATTAGTAAGTTTATTTCTATCGAGTGTTTTTTTTCTCAGGACATCTTAATTGACATGCATATTTTATTCATAATTAATTTACAAACAATTCGTCTATAAATCTATTTTACTTATAGTGGCTACTTTGTTTCTTATATAGTCTAATCTTTCTTCAATATTTCATCAAAAGAGATTAAAGTCGATACTTTCGATTATTTGGAAGACGATACCGCTATTGTCAATGCAAGTAAATATACAAAGCCAATTCTAACCAATGCGCGACGTAAAATGATATTGAATGGAGAGTTCATTCAATCATACGAAGAAAATTATAGGCAGAAAATATCGAATGATTTGTGAAAAAAAATCCATGTATCGAACATGAGGACAACACCCAAGCGAGATAAAACAAAAACAACAAAACAGGTGAATAGACTTGCAAACAAGAGGCTCTAAAGAGCATGTGTGTCTCACCTAGGTCTATGTATATTTCAAACAATGGACACTCTCAAATATTGTGAACAAGTATAGAATTCATGACAAAAATCTTTTTTTAAGTTGATCTTGTATTGCTAATAACTTTTTCTCTTATCATTTTTGTTTTTGCCCAAAACACAAAAAAGAGTAAAACATCGTCTAACATTTTACAGTTTTCAAGATAATGGTCAAAAACGCTAAATGGAAAAATTATTTTTCAACGTAAAAATTTCTTTATTGCATATTTCCTATAACAACTTACTAAGTTTACAGATTTTAACTTAGTATCCCTCAGGTAAACATACCTAATAGTTAAATGGTAAAAATTGTCATTAAAGAACAAACTCTCCAATAAAAGTCAACTATTTCGGCCATGTTTATTTATTGGTAGATCTTGTCTTGTTGATAATTTGTGTTTTCAAATTGCCTATCTTGGACAACTATACGGTATCGGGTTTTCTCATTGTTGAAGGCCGTACGGTGACCTATGATTGCCTATATCCACTTATTTGAACTCTGATGGATAGTTGTCTCATTTGCAATAATACCAAATCTCCCAATGAGAAGTCGTCTGATGATATTGGCCATATTTGCCATGTTTTACTTGTTTGTAGATCTTGTTTTGCTGATAATTTTTGCTATTAAAAGTTTATCCCTGCCTATTATAGTTATCAAGATAATAGCCAAAAGTGATAAAAATGGTAAAATGGTCATTAAAGAGCAGTACCTCATTTGAAAAGTCGTTTGACATTTTGCGTTACAAAATTGCATTTTACCCCTATGTTCTATTTTTAGACATGTCAGGCATGTTGGTTGGAATACGGATCATTGGACAAATCTTTTAACTAGATACCCCAATGATGATTGTGACCAAGTTTGATTACATTTGGCCCAGTACTTTTAGAGGATGATACTTTTGTGAAATTTAACGGACGACGACGAAGGACGACGGTCGCCAAGTGATGACAAATGCTCATTTGGACCTTTTGAGTGAACAATCCAATAATGTTATGGGTTACGGAATAAATCTCACACTTTCTAAGATCGTTCTTATTCCGTATTTATTGATTGGCAGATTGTGTGTTTCACGTCTAGTGGCAAGTGTATCAAGGACGATAACACATTAACTAATAAATTGATTCGCCGAGCGCAGCTGGATACGACCGCAGAGGTCAAACCCTGAACAGTTGGGGCAAAAATGGACACAATATTCGCGCTTGATACAGGTCTGAATTTGGATTGTAATTAAATATTTGACACAGAATAACTGTAGTCAAAGAACTTAGAATTGGTTATATGATTTGAATTTATATTCATTTTTTTGCTTTTCCTGCAATACACTATGCTGTTGCAAATTGACCCGCCCACCCCTCAAAAAAAAAAAATACCCCTCTTTGTATTTGCTTTTGTGCAATACACTATGCTGTTGCGAATTGACCCCCCCCCCCTAAAAAAAGTGTCCCCCCTCCCCCTCGCAATTTCTTTTTTACTCCCCCCCCCCCCAATTTTTTTCACCTCCCCCACCTTTTTCCAAAAACAAATTCTTTCCCTCAAGATATGGTCATAATCTCCATTCAAATTTCCAATGGAGTTTGCAACCATAATTACCCATTTAAATACACCATTAAAAGTCTACAAATAGAAAATGACATGCATAATCATGACTAAAATTAATATTCCTTAACCAGCATTTTTAAATAGTAACTTCTAAAAATAAATTGACAGCTAATCACCTCAAGACAATACAACATTTCTTTATACATAATTTAAAAGCAGTGTAAGGGAGGTAATCCAAACATAACATTGTACTTTCTTTTAATTGTCCATTAACCAGGAAACCCTTGTTTTCCCCCTTTTTTGCCCCTAATTCCTAAACGGTTTGAGCCATAACCCCCCAAAGCCAATTCTAACCATCCCTTTGTGGTATGTAAACTTGTGGTATAATTTCAGAGAGATCCATACACCGTTCCACAAGTTATTATCTGGAAACTAGAAAAATGCTAATTTGGGCCCCTTTTTTGCCGCTAATTCCTAAGCTGTCAGGACTTTAACCCCCAAAATCAATCCCAACCTTCCTTTTGTGGTTATAAACCTTGTGTTTAAATTTCAAAGATTTCTTTATACATTTATTAAAATTGTTGTCCGGAAACCATATGTCTTCGGACGACGCTGACGACGACGTGATACCAATATACGACCGCAAAATTTTTTGCGGTCGTATAAAAACAAATATGCGACTCCTTCGAGAATTACAGTGGATAATTTGGATTACAATAGGAAATGGAGGGAATGTTGGAAAAGCGTAGAAATTGTGTCTTGTAATAGGTCAGTTACGGACCCTCAAAGAATTTATCAATATAATTCTTTTATCTAATGTTTATGAAATGTAACGGTGCAGGTCCATATTTACCTTAATTGTGACATGTGTTACTGATATTTTTTGCTTGTTAACCTAGTATTATCAAATGACTTGGGTTTTTTTTATCAGCAACACCTAGGGTTTCACCAGTTGATAAAACAAAAACAAATTGGTATCATTATCAACGATCAGAAAAAATGTAATATCTGTAATATGACTGAAATAGGCGATAAATATCATTACATCATGAAATGCCCTGCTAAAGAAACGAAAGAAAAAAATTCCTTCCATTCTAGTATTACATAAGAGAAAAAACCAATAAATTTCACTTTCTGTTTAATACAAAAATATTTTCATGTTAAATAGACTGTGTAAATTTATTAGTATAGTAAATGAAAAAGTCCTTTTTTGTGGACATTTTATTATATATCTATTTTTATCTTTATTTATATTATATTCATCTTTATTTTTTTTTTCTTCTATTTTTTGTATTGTCCATTTTATAAATGTACTCCATGTATAACCTTAAGCATTGCATGTTAAATTATTATGTTTCCCTCTCTGCACCTTTGTCAATTGCTTTTAGAGTATCTAACAACATGAGAATTTTCCACAATGCGATCTAGTTTTCATGGGTAACATATGTTTTTAGATATACACAATGGTGGCCAAGGGTAATTTTGAATCAGTGAGTGGACAGAAAAAGATGAAAAGCTTGATAAAAGGTTATACAGCGCTTGTTTTTTTTTACTCTACTAGTCTAGAGTGTACCGGATGGTGGTTATCAAAAGCATGTTTTAATGTGCACTTTTAACATATCACACTTTTTGCAATTAATATGATAGTGACTTTTATCTTTCTAATAAAAAAGTTTTACACAGGAATTCTTCATTATGAATAGAAAACTAAAGTTCAAATTCCAAGGTAATCAATGTATACATTTTGTTTTAAAATTTCTAGATCAGGCAAAGTTTAGTTGGTTTATTTCCTCCTCGTTTACGTCCTTTTGAGCTCAGGCAAAGTGAAGATGGTTTTAATTCTCCATTTATGTCATTTTGATGCTAGACAAAGCCTAGATGATTTTGCCTCTCCATTGAGATACTTTTGGGATTTGTTCTTCTCGTTAGCGTTTTATGACTTTGACGTCGTTTCAATCGTTTGGTCTTTAGTGTTATTGGTGAAGGTTAATTCCAAATACAGTTTGTGTGCACTCCAAACATAACATAGGTGACTTTTTGTAATGTATATACTGGTGATTGTTACTATTTCCTTGTTGGATCTTTTAAATGATTGAAATGAATTAAATTTTTCACCGACTCTTACTATTGATTTGCTCAAACGTGACGAGACAACAGCAAAGTTTTACCCTTTCTATAACTCACTTACATACATGTACATTGATAATTAAAAAAAGAAATTGTTACCTCTGAATTCATATAACAAAAGACCAGCGATACTAATGTTCCCTGAAAACAAAGAATATGGTGTTAATATGGATATTTTTATACATTGGATTAGTGAATATAATAAACTTAACTTCCTAGTCAGTTCTTCGTTACGAAAAGAATTGATAACAGCAATAATCATTGAAGTATTTTCAGTGATGAATGAACAACCAGTATTATTACTTATTAAGTTAATATAACAGAATATAGAATTAATATATGATGATATTTCGACAATCAATTATTCATATCTTTTCCAAATTATTAGTTCTTCAATCCATATTCTATGTTCTAAATATTATTATCTACGGATTAAATTTATATCAATTCAAATGTTCATAAATGATTTCTTTTCTGTCGTTACACTGTCAGCACGTTCTAATGGAAAATTACACATACTGTCACTGAAAGTTTGTCTACTTTTGTTAAAAGTTAAACTCCTTAAAATTTATTTAATTTGTACTTTATATGTTTGGTAATGTTGTCAAATTAACTCTTTCGTTCTTTTTATCGTAAACAAACCTTTTCCCCAAAACACCACTAACAAATTTGAAAAAAAGTTTTACAATGGAGTTTTGATTCTTCAACATTAAACTTTGATTTACACGAAAGCACAAGTACACATAATTCATGGATATTCAAATAGATATTGTGAATAAGTGGACACAATTTAAACCTAAAAATGTTTGACTTCATTATTTGTCTTTTAAATTAACTTTTATTCATTTGCATTTTTTGGGAGTCAAGTCATAGTTGTGTATATAAAAAAGAAGATGTGGTATGATTGCCAATGCGACAACTCTCCACAAGAGACCAAATGACACAGAAATTAACAACTATAGGCCTTCAACAATGAGCAAAGCCCATACCGCACAGTCAGCTATAAAAGGCCCCGAAATGACTATGTAAAACGATTCAAACGAGAAAACTAACGGCCTAATTTGTGTACCGCAAAAAATGAACGAAAAACAAATATGTAACACATAAACAAACGACAACCACTGAATTACAGGTTCCTGACTTGGGACAGGCACATACATACAGAATGTGGCGGTTAAACATGTTACCGGGATCCCAACCCTCCCCTAACCTGGGACATTGGTGTAACAGTACAACATAAGAACGAACTATAAAAATCAGTTGAAAGAGGCTTAACTCATCAGATGAATAAAAATACAAATACTACAAATACAAGTGGACGTGGCCGGGTACTTGTACATCCAAACAACAAAAAGACACTAATTACAGATCTGAGAGTACTCGCAGTTACTGACAGCTAGTTCAATGCCACTAACAACTAATAAAAATCCGTACACATCCAACATTCAATGGATTTAGTATCAATTTTACATGGGTAACCAAACATTTGAAATCGATATTTGGCACTCGAGTAAAATAATGATTACATTAAAATAAATTTTACTACGTTCGTTGGTGATGTCTGGAAAGAGTGTACCGTCTTTTCAGGCAGTCATTGGTCGAGTTGTCCTTAGAAATAATATAAAAACCAATACCGAGGTTTCTCTTCTCAAAGAGCATTATTTCCTTTTATTGTATAAAAATTAATACTAGATGACCACAATTTCGCAGTATAACTGAGATATAAAATATGCTGGAAACATTTGCTTATATATCAGTAGAGGTAAGAGATATCATGACAAAGCTGTTGAAAATCGAAGTAGTATCTTTTTCTGTAGATTTCATAAAAAAAAGTGCACAAAACCGATTCAAAGTAAAACTTATTTAGCAGCCATTTTTCATTTTGGAAACTAATTTTGGTCATGCTTAAAGTTTTTACGGTGATACAATGGAAAAAATGGATCAAAATCCGAATAATGATTAAAGACGACTACTCGGAACTCGTATCATCTAGGTCAAATCTCATTTAAAAACTTAGGCCAAACTTCTCTTATATTCCTAGAAAAAACAAACTCATCAAACCTAATAGAAGTTTATATCAATATCTGCAAAAACGCTTGTCCGGAAGGAGATTCGAACTTAGTTTGTAACATCTTATGATATGAGTATCAACCAATTCCTTTTCAATTCATCCAGGAATTGTAGAAAAAGTGCGAAAAACTGATATTTTCAAGTAATTTTCTATATCCTGGGGCAAACACTTCTGAATGAATCGGTCAACGGGAACAAAATTCGAGCATTATGTATAAGTACTTATAATATGACTTTATTTTTGATATCTAATAAATTGATTGAAAAAATGCGGCTGACTGATATGTTCAAACACTGGTATTCTTATGTCCTAGGGCCTAAACCTCAACACAATCGCTCAACCGAATCTTAATTCGAACTACTTATGATATGAATATATACCATATCCTATTTGAATTGAGAGAAAGCAAGAGGCTCTCAAGGACCTGAATCGCTCACCTGTATTTCAGAGGAGAAGATTTTTAAATGTTTTGCAAACTTGATGAACAAATTGTGTAAAATTGTCTTTAAAGGGCAATAACTCCTTAAGGGGTCAATTGACAATTTTGGTCATATTAACTTTTTTGTAGATCTTACTTTGCTGAACATTATTGCTGCTTACAGTTTATATATATCTATAATAATATTCAAAATAATAACAAAAAACTGCAAAATTTTGTTAAAACTACCAATTCGGTGGAAGCAACCCAACAATGGGTTGTTCGATTCGACTGATAATTTCAGGGCCGATAGATCTTGACCAATTAAACAATTTTACCCCATGTCACATTTGCTCTAAAAGATTTAGTTTTTGAGATATAAGCCAAAAACTGCATTTGACCCCTATGTTCTATTTTTAGCCATGGCGGCCATGTTTGTCGATGGATACAAACTTCGGATACAATTTATAAACAAGATACCCTAAGGAACATTTAGTTAAAGTTTGAAGGTAATTGGCCAAGTAGTTTCAGAGGAGAAGATTTTTAAATGTTAGCAAACTTGATGAACAAATTGTGTAAAATTGTCTTTAAAGGGCAATAACTCCTTAAGGGGTCAATTGACAATTTTGGTCATATTTACTTTTTTGTAGATCTTTCTTTGCTGAACATTATTGCTGCTTATAGTTTATACATATCTATAATAATATTCAAAATAATAACAAAAAACTGCAAAATTTTGTTAAAACTACCAATTCGGTGGCAGCAACCCAACAATGGGTTGTTCGATTCGTCTGAAAATTTCAGAGCTGATAGATCTTGACCAATTGAACAATTTTACCCCTGTTAGATTTGCTCTAAAAGCTTTAGTTGTTGAGATATAAGCCAAAAACTGCATTTGACCCCTATGTTCTATTTTTAGCCATGGCGGCCATGTTTGTAGATAGATAAAAACTTTAGATACAATTTATAAACAAGATACCCTAAGGAACATTTAGTTAAAGTTTGAAGGTATTTGGCCCAGTAGTTTTAGAGGAGAAGATTTTTGAAATAGTTTACGACGACAGACGACGGACGACGACGGACGCCAAGTGATGGCATAAGCTCACATGGGGCCCTTCGGGCCCCGGTGAGCTAAAAATGCGGTGAACTCAAAATTTTCAAGCAATTTTTTTAAAATATGTGATAAACTTCGCAAAAATCGCCCTATCGGTACAAGAAAAGATTTAATAAAAAAAAAAATGAGGACAACGGTCTAAAACGGAAGGCTAGACGGAGTACAAACTAAAGTTTCTTTTGCCATTAACAACATGGAACAAATAAAACACGGCTACTAGAAAATGAACTAGATAAAGACGAAATCTATTAACATAACTGTTGAGAAATCTTTAAGATGACAAGTCTAACAACGTCACATAGTGTTGTCATCATGCGTGAATTATCTCATATTATTATAACTATTTATACACTATTTTCTGATAAGTGTTAATTCTTATACATTAAAGTTAAGATACTCTAGTGTAGAAACATTACATACATCTTTAGCCTAGTTGAAATTTAATTTACCTGAGAATCAATAATGAATTTTGAAATAACTTCGTATGGAAATCTGTATGCTGTTTCCTCTGGCGGTCGGTAGATAATAAAGAATAGCTGAATACCAAATAATGGTACCAGTAAGAATGTTGCTTTGATCCCACGTCTGAAATGAATTTGAAATCATTTTTAGAAAATCACACAGAAATACAGTCAATCCCAACAAAAATACTCTTCCTATCTTTGTTCTACTCCCACTGAAAACTTTAAAGGTCCTAATAAAATCTGTTACTAACAAGAAACTATAATTATAACAAGTGCTTCTAATATCGTCATTATTATCCGTTGTTTCACACTCGGAAGCTTCATGGTTAGAAAATGTACATGACCGATGGCTTACGGATTTGGTGATGTCTTAGATTTAGATAAGAGTCAATTACAAATCCACTACTATTTGATAACTGATCACCTGATATTACTTAACAGCGTATTTTATAAGAGTAACAAGACGGGTGTCATATTTAAAACATGATCTTATTACCCTTCCGGAGAACCTTGTTTTTATGGGGTTTGTTTTGCTCAGTTATTTTTCTATTTTGTTCTAGTTTTCTATGTTGTGTTTGGTAGACTGTTGTTTGTATTTTGATCAATTTTCGTTTTTTGTCATGGCATTGTCATTTCGTTTTCGACTTCGAGTTTAAATATTCCTTTCCTATCTTCCGCCTCTCTTTTAGATGACTGAGTATATATAAAGAAACAACATTCGGTGATTCTTCTACTAGACATTCTTTGAAACAAAACATAAAAGTTTGAACACTAACAATTAGAACAAATCTTCGTCAGACAGAAGATTTTTAGATCAGTCAATTATGATCAGGCAAAATTTAAGAATAAAACTGTTCTTACGCACTGTCAATCAATTGTTTACTCATGACATTCTTATAAAATAGAAGGCAATTGGAATTTGAAACTATCTATAGTATAAAGCGTTATGTATACCAACTAACGTACTATATTATTACATCCTGTGTCATCAAGATGTCGTTTGGTAATTCTTATCATTGGCGTTGCTGTCTCATTGAATTTCATAAATTCAACGTTAAAGTCAACTTTGTGGAATGCTATAATTCAAATGGTGAAAGTTGTCACCGGTGGTATATATTATGATGCGCTCTATATATATATATACCTAAAATTGCTTGGTTCATTTGGATGATTCTGTAATCCCGTCAGGAGAATCTTCAGTATACTACACAGAAATACCATGTTCGTCTGGAAAAAAATGTCAGTAGAAACTAAGTTGAAAGAATACTTGAGGTAGATGACATTACCTCTTTTACAATAACACTATATTTCTGAATATGGAAGAAAGATCATAATCTTTTGATAATGTTAAACTTTACATTCAGCTGACCCGAGGGGTATCATTATTTATTATTTAGTAGTATTTAATATTAGTAATGTCTATATATAATAGTTTATACGTCTAGAATGGGAACAGTATATCTAACATAATATATTCTTTTTAGTGGATTATCCGTATCAATTTGTTTATGTTTCCCCATCATACTTATCCCAAGAGTATAATCGATTTAGATATAAAACTTTAAGCTTATATAATAAAACTCTTGGTAATTTCTGATACAATGTAAATGTTCTGAGAAGCTTTCTGTATATATTCCTAAGGAAATTACTTATAACGTAACTTTTTGAAATATTAAATAGTGGACAGATTTTATATTTTTCATCTGTGAGGACCTAGAAAACATATTTTTGGTGATACTAATGGATTTTGGTAAACTAGATAGTCACCAGGCCTGTTTAATCGCTTTGAAGTTCCAAATTAGTTTACTAAATCTTTATTATTACATTTTACGGATGTCTTAATACGTCATCTGCAATTTAATTAAATAAGCATATATAAATACAGGAACAGAGACAGCATTTTTGTTTACTTCTTATTGACAATTAGTTATTATGTAATTCCACATAATAAAATCAAGGTAAATATATAGTCAATTACAAATAAGCCTATTCGGCTGTTCTAAAATGATTTCACCACATTTCCTATAGTACTCAATAATTAATGTAAAACAAAATTGGAAAAAGCAAAATTCCATGCTCGAAGATATATCGATCAACCAAACTCAATCGACGTAACAACATTTGGTAAGGGAACCTAGCTATCTGTCATAACGGGCTTCAACTTCTAAGACACCAACCACTGTTTTTTCAAGAAATTAAGAATAAAAAAATACTTAAAGAAATAATTTGCCTCAACGACAGATGCATATGTGCCTTAGTTACGCACACGGGAACCTTTCATTCATTTTTTTAAATTTAAATTGGTTTAGTTTTCCTCAAAAAGAAGACATTTCGCACATACAATTATCTTTCCTTCCTAAACATCAATGTAGTATTAAGTATCTCGTCGGCGTCCGACTGGCATTTGGTTAATATAAAAAAAAATACTAGTATCCAACAATATCTGTCATATAACGACTCTCCAGAATACGATCTTTGACCGACCAAGGAACCATATTTTTTACCTCGATTTTTTTATGCAATCGACAGCATATGCATATCATATGAAACACGGCGTTTTTAGAAGAAGCTAAATACTATTTATCTTAGGCACAATTTAAATATGCTTACCAATATGCAAAGTAGGTTTGGGATGTAAATAATCCACTCATAAATTCCAATATTTTTTACCCAACACCTAAAACATATATTTATATGAAAGCGAAACATTAACTAAAATATACTGAAATGAGTTTTGAGATTCTAATTGATTTTTTAATGATCAACTAAGTTGGTGTTTAGATTGTTATTGTTGAGTAGTCAATTATGTATATCACTGGTATTTGTAATCAAAACAACAAAAAAGAAGAAACAAAAAACGTAAGATATAATTCCAGACCGTGCACATAACATGTTTCTGGAATTATCTTGTTAATATGATTATTTAGGGTGTAATTGAATAATTTATGCTCCTTACACAAACATTGCTCCAATAGAGTTATGAGGAATAACGGCTGTAATCGACACTTCATCAGTTTTACTGTTGCCTTCACGAATTGGTTGACCGATATGGGATATCTGTGTATCGAGTCACTTACTACACGTTTTCGTAGTCTAATATCTTTAAATACCAGAAAAGTTTAATCTGTTATTTTACCCATTTATCCTATTAGTAATCCCGATTGTGACATTTATCCTAATCCCGATTGTGACATTTATCCTAATCCCGATTGTGACATTTATCCTAATCCCGATAGTGACATTTATCCTAATCCCGATAGTGACATTTATCCTAATCCCGATTGTGACATTTATCCTAATCCCGATTGTGACATTTATCCTAATCCCGATTGTGACATTTTGACCAAGTGTGAACACTTGATCAGGAAGTGATAATTAACCTTAAAACTTACAGATAATCAGTACATCTCACCGAAGAACTACTATTTTACGTAGGTTAATTTGCATTAGGATTCAACGTGTAATTATTACCATAACAAAAGTAAGCATACATCGTTTTCTCTCCTTGAACATTCTGCACACATTCATTTAAAGGGATTTTTTTTATGTAATAGTGTTGCTGTTGTTGCTGTTATTTTTGTGTTTCGTATTTAAGGTATACGTGAATAAAATGCCTTATAGAGATTATGGAAGGAGCTTTGAGACTTAACCTCGGCCTACGTTCATGTGCTTGTTCCGCGTCAGAAATATCGCCAGTGGTTGTCGACACGATACTATGCGCGATTAATATTATATACTTCTGATTGATATTTAACTGATATATATATATATACTTACTCGTTATCTGCTATTTTTAATCTAATGATCAGGTAAGTAATAACAGGTATCAAAGCCCCGCCTGAAATTATGAATGAAATTGACTTACAACACGCAATTATGACGATATTTTTCTGCAATAAATATGCGTGCTAATTTCGTTTTTCTTTTATTTAGTTCTGTCAGAATAATTGTACAACATTCTATCATTACAAATACGTTAGGTGAAATGTTACATTTTATATTATTTGCTTTACAGTTTTATTGAGATGAGTTCCACCGGGATGGACAACAACACATTAATAGTTTTATTGAGATGAGCTCCGCCGGGATGGATAACAAAACATTTATAGTTTTATTGAGATGAGCTCCGCCGGGATGGACAACAATACATTTATAGTTTTATTGAGATGAGCTCCACCGGGATGGACAACAATACATTTATAGTTTTATTGAGATGAGATCCACCGGGATGGACAGCAATACATTTATAGTTTTATTGAGATGAGTTCCGCCGAAATGGACAACAATACCGCCGGGATGGACAGCAATATATTTATAGTTTTATTGAGATGAGCTCCGCCGTGATGGACAACAATACATTTATAGTTTTATTGAGATGAGCTCCGCCGGGATGGACAACAATACATTTATAGTTTTATTGAGATGAGTTCCGCCGGGATGGACAACAATACATTTATAGATTTATTGAGATGAGCTCCGCCGGGATGGACAACAATACATTTATAGTATTATTGAGATGAGCTCCGCCGGGATGGACAACAATACTTTATAGTTTTATTGAGATGAGCTCCGCCGGATTGGACAACAATACATGTATAGTTTTATTTTTCTTCCCTTTTCGAATATCAGCAATTTTGCCCCAAATAGTCAATAGTAAGCATTTTAAGAATTCGGTTAAGATTCTATGTTCAATTGATGTGTCCATGCTTTTAGTTTTTGACATCCTTTATTTGTGCTATTACCTTAAAATTAAGTTAGAAAAAAAACCAGTTTTAATAAAGGAAAAGAGACGACATCAAAACTTATGTATTAAATAGAATATATTCTCATTTGAATTCAGACCAAAAGATGAATTATAATTCAGTACGAAATGTAATTAACTTATCCTTAATAACTTCTGTTCAAATGTTGACTGCTATTATACCGTGTATTTCAACTGTTTCTGCTAAAAATAATTATGATGTCGGCAAATGTTGTATTGAGATATTAAAGAAATGTATAAATGCAGAACTATATAAACTGAAGAAATCTGTTATTGAACAAATTAAGATTGACTGTTCTTTATGGTATATTTCACCTCCGTCGTACTCCTAAGTTGGAATACGAATAAACGTTGATAATGTCTAGTCATTACTTACAACTTTTTGTATGTTCATGATACATAATTTATTTTGTTTTTGTTTGATGACCATCCAACTTTT